TATAAAAGCTGCTTTTAAAAGCATATTAAGAGTACTTCTTAAAATAAAAAAAAAACAGTCTTAAAACAAGCAAATACCAAATTGACCATTAATCTTGAAAGCCTTTCATAAACAGAAAAGATACCTTAGAAAATACCCATCAAGAATAAAGTTAGGATTTTTTTTTTTAAAATAGACCGATTTTACTAAATATTTAGCAAAATCGACAATTTTGTTAAATATTTAGCAAAATCAACCTCTCGCCAACAGGCCAAAAAGAAGTCGATTTTAAAAAACCCCTAGTAGTCCCGTATGTTTTCAAGGACACTAATCTCCCAAAAAACATACGGGACTAGTAGTCTAGAAAACACACTGAAAACATACGGGACTAATAGTCCTGTATGTTTTCTGGGAGGCGTTTTTTAAATCGACCTCTTATTGACCAAAAAGAGATCGATTTTGCTAAATATTTAGCAAAATCGGTCTATTTTAAAATATTTTCCAGAAAATTATTATAAGGGATCTTCCTACTACACACAGGAATCAAGGTGTATCCAGGTCTGGTAGAAGATGGTCTCGGGAACATTCACAGATGCATTTAGATTGCCACACGGAAGGGAGAAACTAAACAAGAGCACTTCAAATTCTAAAGAGACCTTGATCTTCATTAAAAGACTACCGCATTATAAAAAAAAACTTTAGATTGGCCTCAATAGAGGAATCAAATATCCTCATGGATAAAAACATCACAACAAAAGGCCATAATCAATCACAATGAACAAGCAAACATACAAAAATCATCTCTTACAACCCCTCAACAATCAATAGAACTGCAGCTCTGTGATGCAATGGTACTATCTGTGTTGCTCAAGAAAGGATCAATCTTCACCCAAATAAGCGAAAACACCGACGCAAGCAGAACGGACCACAAGATAACGATCGTGGGCGTCCGATTCTGCCTCCCCATTAAACCCTTGAGGAAAGGATAAAGATGAAGGATCACCCAAAGTGCGAAGAAAACTTTTCCAAACAAAGGCCCCCAAGCTTCATAACCACTGTTTAATGCATCAGAGAAGCCCGCAACAACACCAACTAGATTTAGAACAAGAAGGGTTGTCGGGGGAATCAGAAGTGTTGTCCATTTGATCACATAGAGCTCACCAAACTCCGCATCATCGGATGCTTTTGCTGTTACAGTGAAGTTGGTGTCGAGTCCAGCCAGCATTTTGAGGAATCCTTGGAACACTGCAAAGAGATGAGCAGAGACGCCACCAATCACCCAGAACTGCTCGTTCCTCCACCAGTCTTCGATGCCGATGCCACTCCATCGAAGCTCAAGAACGCTCGTCACGATGATGGAGATGAAGAGGCCAAGAAACAACATGCTTGCAACATTGGAAAGCTGTGGTTATCCATGTAGAAGAACAAAGATTAGAACCCCGATAAATGAGCCCTACCGACTTTCAGAGAGAACAATGCAAAAAATAAGTAATAAATAGGGTTAATCGCGGAACTGAGTTAGCCACTTATTAAGCCAAATCTTTTTTATTAGCACTCAGACCCCTGATGGCCAATCCATTATCTGTACCGATCATGTGGGTGTGTTCCAGAGAGATCTGATATTTCAACGTGTTCTGGAGAGATATCTCTATTTGGATTTTAGGGGGTCTAAGTGCTAATAAAAAAGTTTAGGGATAATAAGTGACTATGCTAATGTACAAGGAGAGAAGTGAATACTTACAGTTGGAATAATAAACTTTCCGGTGAGAAGACAGATAGCGGGGAGTGAACAATAAGCTATAAGAGGGAGAGATGTGAAGGGATACAAAATGGTGTTTGTATACGCCAATCTTTGCAGCCATTTTAGACGACCACCACCAAATCCATACCACAGCGGACAATGTCGGCTGAGAAAAATCTCGACAGAACCAAGAGCCCATCGAAGGACCTGATGCAACCGATCTGAAAGGTTGATGGGTGCAGATCCTTTGAAACATGGCCTCAAGGGCATGCAGTAAATTGATCTCCATCCACGGCAGTGCATCTTAAATCCCGTTAAGATGTCTTCTGTGACTGAACCATATATCCAACCAATCTGAAAGAAGACCATTGGACAAACATACGATATTTAAGAGAAGGTTGAAGCTAATACATGAAGGGACTACGGATGACTGTGAAATTGAGATCAAACATCAATACATATGAGAGGGGCAGTAAGGCACAAAAGTTTCTCAAAGTAGATCAGTACAGATATACACACAAACACAATGCATACAAAAATATTACTGCATAATGCTGTACTTGTTCTAACTCGTAATCATTTGACATATAATTTGAAACCTTCAAAAATTTGACCACTCATTTTCTTGAATGCTGAATAAAATTAGGAACAACAAAAGTTAACAATAACATGATATTAAAGTTCATATATCCATAAAAACTCGATATTGCAATGTAAGTATTAGTAAAATGTAAGTATGGGTTCATAGCATGTGTTGTACAATTCAGCCAAATCCACTGAAATTCCCTGAAGTGGCTGAAAGACTTTTAGCTGGAAGTTCTGAGCAGCAGTAAGTTAAATAAGTTGGTGAATTCTGTGCAATCAAGATAAGTTAACTATAAATCTTTTCTTTTTCAGTTTCATACTTCCATTATACACAAAATCTAGATAATCAAGTTATCTTTTAGCTAAATTCTTCCATTTGGTAAGTGAAGTTTAATTTCTTCAGACTGAACTAAAAAGAAACAAGGGTTTATTCAGAATGAGATTAACACTTTCAAGCAAAATTCATTCCAGATTTATAAGTAGTCCCATTGAAAAATGAAAAATAAGGTGAAACAAAAACTCTATGCTTACCTCCTTTCCCCACTCAGTTTTCTCCTCGTATCCACAACTAATAACATGGATTGCTTCTCTTATCAGTGTTGATGGGTTCGCAGAGTCAGGTACTCCTCCATTCTCCATTAAAGTGGATTCAATGAACACCGAAGACAGCCCAAAAGACTTCTCAAAACTCATTTGGGAGATCAACAATGACCTCTCATATTCATCATAATCTGCATTAGTTAACCAAATTAGTTATAGAGAATTCCGAGCAAGACCAATTTTTTTCTCAAAATAGAATCACATAAAGCATACTCACTGTCGATTTCTTTGAGATTAAATATGGCAGCATTGAGATCTTCCCGTTTAGAATCCTTATAAACCTCAACCTCATCTTCTGCTGCTTTTTTGGAGCGACAACAACAGCAGCAGCTACAACACCATGAGCAAAATGAACTCTTGGGCAAGCTTGGTAAAGATGGTGGTCCATACCCATAGAGTGCTTGCCTATTAAAGACACAACCAGTTCCAACATAGACAGGCCCTTGTATGCCATCTAGTCCTTTCATGTTAACCTAAGCATAAAAGATATATTACAAGATAAATTAGTGAGTAAACAAGAACAACTGGTATGGATGATATTTTTTTGTAATACTTACATCAAAGAAGACAATATTCCGGTTGGCATATCGATCGCTACGATCTATACCATCAAATCTCTGAGGAAATTGAATGTAACAGACATCTCTACCAACTTGTGGATCCATCATGAAACACATTGCTTCACGAATTGCTTTACTATTATTAACATAATGATCACAATCAAGGTTCAGAATATATGGGGCATTTGTAAGAATTGCAGACACACGAACCTGTGAGTCATTACAAATGCAAGGTGGCAAAGCATTAAAATTAAAGCTAACAGATCAGAAGATAATTTTTCTTCTAGATAAGGATGATAGAATACCAGAGCATTCATGGCACCAGCTTTTTTATGGTGTTGGTATCCTGGTCTCTTTTCTCTTGAAACATAAACTAGCCGGGGAAGCTCATTTCCTTCGATGTCATGAGCACCACTATTTCCAAGAAAAACCTGAAATAGGCGGTTGGTTAAAGAACAAAAAACTATTTAAGATACCTTGTGATCAGCATACTGTTTCTCAGGATCTGCTAGCAAATGTTGGGAAAGTAATACTTGATATATGAAAAGGTACAGAAACTATTTTAAATATCAAAAGATAGCCTAATAAAATATAAGAAACCTTTTTTTATAAATTACTAGAAACATCAAACTAACGACATCTCCAGATAAGACAATATATGTTTTTCTTATTGAAAGATCATAACTACTCTAAATGGCAAATTTTTTACTATCCTTAAATTTTTTACTATCCTGAGCGTTAATGTAAATATTGATAAACATTGAATTGCACAACATGGACCTAGTTGACGAGCCATGACAAAAATGCTAGAGGAACAAAAATAAAATCTGGAAGTTACAATGAAATAAATAAAAAGAATAAATAGGTATATTTTAAATAAATTAACACTCCACTTAAACACTTACTATTAGGCACAATGATAATTGTTCAACACTTGCTACTAAGAAACATGATGAAATTTAAGTAAATCAAAAGTCAGAAAATCTGACCTGAATCATGCCAGGATGGTTGCGTGGATTATTCCCCGGCCAAGGTGTTCCATCTTGCATGACCCATCCTTCCTCTGGTGTCTTCTGAGCCTTTGCAACTAAAGCATTTACCCTCACCTTGTATTCTTCGTAATCTCTCTGAAATGTAATTTAACAGTTAGCATTCTGATGCAGTACTAATGCTTCCAAATTTCAATTTGGAATCTATTTCATCATAATAACTCTATTATGATTGTCATGGGGACAGGCTTTCGGAAGCTTTCAAAAATAAGAAAACAAATACTCAACCCAAAATGATATACCACGCTGAAGGCATCTTAGTTCGCACTCAAAACTTACTTTCATTGACCTGCGCTCCTTAACAAAGGATGGTTGTACTTTATCTTTCAAGTAGTCAATCTTCTGAGAAAAATAGAATTCAGGGGCCCTTGGCTCAATTGCATATTTTTTACAAAAGGGAACCCATTTTCTCGCGAATTCTGCAGTCTCCGCAAGGGACTCAAAACTAAGCATAGAAGAACCATCATCAGATACATAGCAAGAAACTTTCTCAACAGGATAATCCACAGCAAGTATTGAGAGAACAGTATTTGCAGTAATCAATGGCGGCTCCTTTAATGGATCCACAGTACTAACAAAGAAGTCCACAGCAGAAAGGTCACAATATTCACCTTCTTTTTCGTACCTGGGAAAGAAAAGAACCAAATTAAAACCATTGCGAGTAGGCAATGTAGTTCACATTTTTTAGGTTTTCGTTTCATGTTAAATTACTATAATACGTCATGTTTTTAGGTCACAAGTTCTTTTTACTACAGTTCATGACATTAAGTGGTTCCAAACTCACAGCTCATGAAGCAAAAAAAGCAGTAGTTCCATCCAAAGAAAATGATAAGCCGAACAGAAAAATGTAACTAAACAATGTCACTCCTCACGTTTCAAGGCAAGGAAGCAAAATATGGTTTAGGCAACATCTTTGGTCATGCTTTGGCATCATAAGGAAAAAAAGAATAAGAAGATTGTGCACTGAAATAATTGGTGATGTTATTGAGACGTGTGATGAAATATGCTACCAAAGATAAGGGAATCAAAGTTAATGCCTATAACAAACATTCTGATAGGAATAACCTTAAAAATGGCGATGATGTGCTATGTTTGCTTCTACATCCTCTCTCTACACGATATCTCACATTAATTTATACTTCTTCAGTTACAGGCGAAAAAACCACATGATTTATAGTGACCAACTTAACTCTTTGGTTGGCTTACTTCATATCCCCCCCCCCCAAAAAAAAAAAAAAAAAAAAAAAACAATCCTTTGTACAACAGGGTCTAGATATTAGTGTGGAGGAAGACTAGAAATGTGCTATACCAAATTTATTTGAACATATTGGGAGTCAAATATTCATGATCATCATTACCCTTGACATGATCTCAGAATCAAGAAACTATTAAAAAGGCCTTCAAAATACTGAAAAGTACCTTGCAGATAGAACATCAATGTATGTCCTTCTATTAATAGGAGACCACTTGGGAAATTGGTCAAGCACCCATGAGACTGCAAACCATATCTCACATATGATTGATGTTAACCATAAACCATAAGCACTTTCAACAGGATGAGTAATCCTATAATGGAAGAAAAGCCCGAGAATTATCAATCTCAATATGATCACCGCCCTATAAGATGTAAGCTTATTACGAGAAATTGGAACTATTTCTGAAAGTGGCTGTCCAGCTGCTGTGTTCCTGCAGACAGAAACAGAAAATAATATTAAATTGTTTGAGCTTGACGGGATCAGCACTTGAAACATAGACAAGTTTCCAAAAAATCAGACTTTTGGCTTATTAAAAGGATATTTTCCTTTCAAATAAAATCAACTGCTCTATTATTCCCAACTCCTGAGGAACTTATTAGTTAGGGTACCTGGGTACTTCTATTGGAAGCTGTATCTGTACCTGACACCTAGCCGTACCCGTACCCGTACCAAAACTTCTTGGACGCTTCTTGAATATACACATAGGTATGTTTATTCAGGCGTATACTCAATTATATAATACATGTTTTACTTTAAAACACTCCTCATATATTTCTTGGACATTTATCCTACACATCTATCTCTTGCATATTGATCTTATGTAAATGAAAAAACAATATTGATCTTATGTAAATTATTAATTTTTAATACATGTACATAACATACATATATGTAGCCATGTCCCCATACCCTACCTTTTACAAATTTGCGTTTTCTCGTACCCGTACCCATGCAGCATAGCTTATTAGTTATTGCATAGTTACACATACCCAATATGTTATAAACTACTTGATATGGTTAAACACAGTGTACATAAATAACTTATTCGCAGGATACCACCAAACTATCTTTAACATGAATCATTAGGAACATTTATATCATTAAATGCTCAAATATTACAGCAGGTGTAACAGAAAGAATTTATAGATGTTTAATTTTAAGCCATTAAGCCCTGTAAAATCTATGGTTGAATAACCTAAAGGTGCATTCGACTATACAGCAATATGATGCTTTTAATGATGAAGTTGGTAATGAGTTTAAATTCGTAGGAAGTTGTGAAAACAATTACTATTGAAGGATAATTGATGTCCCTTACTATGATAACTGTTCACAGAAAGAGACTTCTCTCCTAATATAAAATTCCCCCAAAAAAACATCATTTCATAATTTCCAGATTTTTGCATTTTCCAATCGAATATATTTACTATGAATGACAAGCTTTCATGTCATGTAAGAAAGGAGAAAGATACAATCAACATAGTTCACTGTGAAGCCAAGTGACTCTTTGGGCCGCATATATAGCTTAGATAGCTTTATCAAATATATAGCTGCTCTCAATCAATTACATACAGTATACTTACACGTCGCCTTCCATCTGCTGTTCCTGTGGAATTTGAGATTCTTTTCTATCCTTCTTCTTAGCATTCTTCTTTTCCTTCTTCTCCTTCCAGCTCTCCACTCTATTCTTCCATATTGGGTTCCCAGACTCATCATTTAGCTCTACAATGTAGAGGAAAAGGACACGATATTCACATTAAAACAAGTGAGAAATCAAGTAAATAAGCACGGGGAGAGAAATTTCAAGAATTCTCACCACTATCAACTGCAGAGAGACTGCTCAAGTTTCTAGCATGAAGTGCATTATCCTGTAAGCAAGAAATATCACAAAAGGATCCAAAAAAAGTTCAAGAGGAAAATCATTTCAAAGTAAAACCCCAAGAAAGTCTTCTACCTCATGAAGATGAGCTGCCATTGTCAATCTTCCACCTGATCCCTCAGGATTGGCACTCACTTTCTCTGGAGATAGCGAGCAGAAAACATCAAATTTTAGAAAATTCTTAAAAAAAGATATTATTCAAAAAATGATTAACTAAGTCAAAAATTAGATAAAGCCAACTCCAAATCATTTATTTAAGTTGTTTTCGTTTAAAAAAACTACCATGAACTGCTAGGGTATGGTACAAAATTGCCATAAATATTTTGGAATAATATCATAAACTTTTAAATCATCAAAAAAATATCACATATTGTCAGAAAACTACATTACAGTTTAATGATAATACCTGAAAGTCTATGGTAGTTATTGAGCAGAACACAAACTTCATAGTTGCGTAGGGCCTTTATCTGAAAGCTTATGGTAGTTCTGTAATACATTAATAAAAGTTCATGATATTTATTTCATGGGTAGCTTGTGGTAATTTTTTTCGTTATAGCTTATAGTAATTTGTTTTTTTGTAAAAATTCGTAATAGTTCATGTAGCTTTTGGAAAGTACCCTTAAAAGATTTTGTGCACTAGGCAGTCTAATAATAGCTCAACATAAACACAGCTATTTTTCTGATAATCATATATCTAATCAGAAAATAAAAAATAACCAACATAAATTTAACTTTGAAGCAAAACCAAATCTAAAATATGAGAATAAATACACTTCAATAGTGCTAAATATCAATGTTTATAGCTAAATTGCTAATTAGCAAGTATGAACTGTATATCAAGTCTTAAACAAGTATGAGCTAATTTTCCAATAAAATGATGATTAGCAACCACTAAGTAAGACCGATGAAAATATTTTTTGTAAATATAGGGAGGTTTACTAATCAACTAACAAATGCAAGGAGGTTTCCTAATTCTGGTGACTACTTCAGTAGACTTTTCTAATATTTTATCCAAACAAATCAAACTTTCTATTACAAAACATTAGAACTCAATCCAAAAAAAAAGACTCTGGCTTTCACAATTTCTAGAGCAAATAGGTTAGAAAATTACCATAAATGCATTGGTTCATTATGGTTTCCTGAAGTCTACACTAAAAAATTCTAACACCAAACACTAAACACTCGTACCAAAATTCTCAATTTTCGCCATTTTTACATCTAGTTGATTAGAAATTTACCATGTGACTCACCCCAAAAAAACTAAATTTTAATACCAAACATTAAAACCCATATAAAAAAAATCCTCACTCCCACCATTTCCACATCAAATTGGACAGAAATTTACCACGAATGTAAGGCTCTCCACACCTCACGCAATCCAATTTCCCCTCGTTGAGCTCCTCATTGAGGCACTGCCTGCAGAGAGGATAGTTGCAGCCATGGCAAGCAACGAACGCCCCTTTCGACGACGGCGACGAGAGGCCCACGGCCTCGCCGCAGGAGCTGCAGAGGGGGACCCCAGATTCCATCATGTTTCCTCTCCTCTCTCAAAACCCTAACCCTAGAATCGGCCATTTTAATGAAGGGCGGAGGTTGGGGGGTTGGTGTCGGCGGCGGTTGGGTTGGATGGAAACAATGCAAGCAAAAGCACGAAGCTTTTCCGCTCCTTTTTCTCGGTGGTGGGTTGGATTTGTTTGATTTCGAGGTGGGATGTCGATTTAGGGTTTGGTCTACGATTTTGTTTCGGTCTCTAAATTTTCTTTTTTTTTTTCAAAAATTGAAAATGAAGAGGGTTGGGTTTTGTTTGGGGAGTTTGCGGGGTTTTGAAGGGACGATTGCTTTTGACGTACTTGAAGGTAAGTGAGCAGCTCCCGGTGGTTAACCCGCAAACCTTTGTTCGGGGCATTTTACCTATAAAACCCCTCTACTCTTCTTTTATTACACTTACTCCCAAGTTTTGGGGTGTCTTTGCAAAGCCCTCCTAAAATTCCAAAATTTCCCACGGTAAGTCCTTGTTAACGGATCAACAATTTACGGCCAGCGACGCCGTTAACACCGTTGGATGTCCAAGGGGAAATTTTTGAAAGTTTGGGAGGGGGAGCGGCGGGGAGCTTTAAAGCTATATGTCTCGGAATTTGTTTAAGATGAAGTTAGATTATGGGGCTGTTTGGTTGTATGTTTTTACCATGTAAAAGGATGGAAAGTGTAAAAAAGTGGGTCCTAATGTCAGCTTTTATCACTTTCAATTGTTTGTTTGTAGTTGTGAAAATAGTGTAAAGTGATTTCATATGCTGATGTGGCTTGTAAAGTGATTTCATAAAAAAAAAGACATGATTTTAGAAGAAAGCTGACATTGAAGTCAGGAAAAAATAATAAAAAATAATTCCAACCAATATGATCATTTGAGTATGGACTACTTTTTACACTTTCCAAACAAACAATTAAAGTTACATTTATGATTCCAATGGAATAATCAATTTATGATTCCAATGGAATAAAAAACAAACAAAGAAAAGTATAAAAGTAAAATTGATAAGGTGGACAACAACTTTTTACACTTTTTACACTTTCCAAACAATCAATTTATGATTCCAATGGAATAAAAAACAAACAAAGAAAAGTATAAAAGTAAAATTGATAAGGTGGACAATAACTTTTTACCCTTTCCAAACAATCAATTTATGATTCCAATGGAATAAAAAACAAACAAAGAAAAGTATAAAAGTAAAATTGATAAGGTGGACAACAACTTTCCAAGTTGTGTCATAAATACACAACTTTACCAGGACAACAACTTTCCAAGTTGTGTCATAAATACACAACTTTACCAACAACAACCAAACAGCCCCTAAATAGGTTTATTGGAGTTTTCTGTTAAAATCTGGCTTGGATCAAATTAACCTCTACCCCGCCTTATCTCCTCCTCTATTCTCTCTTCCTCTGAGTGACATTGGACAATAGAAACAATAGGGCAACAGCAATAACAATGCTGTCATTTGTCGGGGCGGGGCGATGTGCTTTCGAACTAGAGAGAGGTAGAGTGATCTCTCAAAATAAGCAGTAGTAACATCTCAATAGATTAACAATCTCTCAAAATAAGCAGTAGTATTTGCTAACAAGGAACTATTGAATGCGGTTGAATCAACCTTCCAATAGATTAACAATCTCTCAAAATAAGCAGTAGTAACATCTCACAGTCCCAACCACAATTTACCTTGATAATGGTTATGCATAGGAAGAATGCGAAAGTCAGAAACATTGCGCTGGTCTCATACAAGAGTATAAAGATAAATATAACATGCCACCAAATTATTGACAAACATTCTCAAAACTTTTCATGGGGCGATGACATTTCCGCATGTAAAAATGAGGTCACGAACTTAAAAAGCACCTCAAATGAGAACAAACATAAACAAGGAAAAATCGAGACATTTCATCCGAAGATGCATTTTGTTCAAGGGTAGTAGCCGGTGAATGTGAAACCTCTTCCTGCAATCTCACCGACACAGAACCAAGCATATAATTCAATTCCAAATAGAGCGGCGACACCAGCATCTTCAACTTTGAGCTCCTTTCTATTCTTCCAGATTTGCTTCACACCATCCAACTCCTTCCAGAATGCCTCGTAACGGCCAGGAATACTGCAAAATGAAGAACGGTTATGCATAAAGCAAGGAGTTATCAAAGTAGAGTCTCATATTTCTTAGTATAAGCTATTATCTAAATCAATTAGTAGATGAATCCAGCAGGAACAATTTGAGGAATAGTGTTCCACTAAGGGGGTGTTTGGTTCAATTTCTAGAAATTATAGGAAATGTTTTCCACCTAAAATATGATTTCCTTATATTTCTTAAAAAAATTATAGGAAAAGTTTTGAGAAATCAAAAAGTACCAATTTTCTTGTTTTTTGTACTTTGCTTGTTTGGTTCAAAACAAAAAAATAGCTCATAACTTTATAGAAAATAACAAGATTTGGTAAGTTTTTAATTAAATATGGTATGTGTCAGATTTCTGGTGATTTCCTCTCATTTTAAGAGGAAATTGCTTTTTGTAAAATTTAGTAGGTTTTGATATTTTATAGAAAATATTTCTGTAAATTTTTTGTTGAACCAAACACAATTTACAGAAATCTCTGGAAAATTTTTAATTACAAATTTGCCATTGTCAGATGTTTTGAGAAAAGTTTTCTCAAAAAGTATGCAACCAAACAGCCCCTAAGAATAGTAAAATGGAGAGTTCCTGTACCCAAAACAATTAAGGGTAAATTGTACAGAACTACCATAAACTAGAGGAAAATACCACAAAATTTCAAATCAGCAGACAAATGTCACATACCATCACAAAAAATATATGATAGTTTAATGACCATACCTGTAAGACCACTATAGTTATCTAACAGCAACATAAAGTTCATTGTAGTTTAGTAACTTCATCTGAAAATTTCATGGTACTTGGTGAAACATAATAAAAGTTCATGGTGTAGTAATTCAAGGATAGTTTTGTTATGCTATGCGGAAGTTTTTCTGCTAATTTCAAAATTTGTGATAAAATCTTCTAGTAAAACAATTTATGATTATTTTGTGCAAAACCTCTTAACAGATCATTGCAATTTTCTGAAATTTTAAATATATCATTGACAAAGCAAGCATAACATGTCTGGTAGAGGGCAAGCATTCTAAAAGATGAAAATCTGGAATATTTTCTTTTATTACACAAAGCGAGAACCAATCTCCATACCCCCATCACTTGGCCATGCATCATTTGACAAAACATCATCCAGAATTTGACTTTCAAACTTATGAGCGTCACTTTATCTAGGGGAGAAAATGTAATCTCACTTTATGTGTCTAAAAAGGTCTTCCCACCACAGTGTGGTTTTGAGAAAATTGTCTCTACCTCGACTTTTAGAAAAATGTACTTCCTGCCTGAAACTATTGTCATGCTTCAGCATCCTTGGACAGAAAAACCATATGCATTTTTTCGAAGATTCCTAATATATTCTAATATTCTTTTCTCTAATTCTCTCTCTTTTCTCTTGTTAACCAATTCTCTCCATAAATCTCCGTCTGCCATCGCCTTCTTGCCGCTTATTTCTCCCTTCGTTGCTTTCTTTTGGGCCCCGCCGGAGTGGGCAGTGGTGAGACCCAAAGAGAGGCAGAGGCAAACAGAGGAGAAGAAGGAGGAGCCAACAGCGATGCAATCAGGAAGTTTGCAGCAAGCCGGTGCTGGAGAAAAGATCGAGGGCGAGGGGGGGAGAGAGTGGTTGAGGAAAGAGAGAAAAATAAGGTAAATGGAATGAGAGATGAACACTAAATAAATAGATGTAACAAGAATTAAACAAGAGTATCAACAAAAAACGTAAGGTACAAACATAGATTACGAAATAATAAATAAAGTATCATTAAACAAAGAAAAGTAACAAGAGCTGAACAAAGACCACGAAAAAAAATATATATATAAAGAAAAGAACAGATGTAACAGAAGTTGAACAAAGGTACAAGATTTATTAAATAAAAGTAAAATGAAAAACATGAAGGTATCAATAAATAAAGAAAGGTAATAACAATTGGACAAATGTAAGAATCACAAAAATATGTCATTAATTACTAATAGAATAACGAGAAATGAACGAAGGTAACAAAAAATCAAATAAAGGAGACCAGGAATTCATGTAAGAAAACCCTCTTTCTCTCTCCTCCTGTCTCAACCACCAACTATCCTCCATCAACCTTTTAATCTGCCACCTCACTGCCGCACTCTACTCTGCCACCTCGATGCTAACCTCTCCTTTGTTGCCCCTCGTTGTCGACCTCTCCTCCACCTCCCTTCCGGCATTACCATTGTCACACTCTGGCGGGGCCCAAAGGGAGGATGCAGGCAGCAGTGATTAAGGGTGGGAAGGGTTTGTGAGTTAATGGGGGAGTTTAAAGGAAAAGGAAGAATGAAGATGGAGAGGACACGGATTTATTAATTCCATGTATGGGCAAGTGGTGGAAGCATAATTCTTCATGTCCAAGTGTGTACAAGCTTTACACTTCTTCCTTTGTGTGTGTTTGTGTGTGTGTGTGTGTGTGTTTGTTTCGGGTGGGGGATGGGGGGCGTTCAGAAGTGTGTTGCAAAATCAAGGGAGGCGCCGTTTTCCTTTAACTTTTTAATGGCAAGGTTCACATGGACTTTGTTTAATCAGGATGCAAAATGAGGTTAGCTAGATTCAAGGACATATGTCACTTAAAGAAGGATCAAACAATCAGCCACAACAGTCAAAGAAGTGGTGAAACATAAATCAATAAACGAGTTATTCAACTAGTCAAAATATATTTGAACGGGCCTCTTCTTTTTCTGCTTGTCACCATAGCTCCACAAAGCAATGTTTTAAAAAGCCTCCGCCTAGCCTGCCGCCTAGCCTGCCTAGGCATATGCCTAGACCTAGGTGGTACTTTGGCCACCTACCTAACGCCTAATGCCTAGGAGGTATCTACGTTGCCCACCTAGGTTTTGGGAGTACCTAGGTGGTTTGCCTACATAGACTGCACATTTTAGGAACTGATCGTGATTTTCTTTATTGTAGCCTCCACGTCCTCTAACCTCCAACTATGAACACCTCCTCTACCTCTCTCGACATTCAGCAAAACTTTCTCCACCACCACTTAAGAAATCTACCTAGGCAGTCCAGCGCCTAGGCTTTCCATAACATTGACATTGACTATCAAAAATTATAATTAAAATTTAAAAACTAAAAAATAGGAAAACACCTAGGCCCCACCTAGGCTTCCGCCTAGGCGCCTAGGCTGTAGGCGCCATGTCCAGCGCCTAGGCTGTAGGCGTCATCTCCAACGCCTAGGCTGTCTAGCGGTTTTTGTAATCTTGCCACAAAGTTGTAACCAATACATCATTAAATCATGGGGCCATGGGGGAAGGAGTAGAGAAAACAAACAGAGATCTATGCAGATACAAGCAAGGTGTATAGAAAAAGGGTGTCGACTTCAAACATTGTCACAAATTACTTATGGGTGGAAATGAAGATACAAACTAAATATTCTCCCTTAAGAAAAAGAACTACCATCAATTAAAAAAAATCTCATAATAATAATTATGAACTGTAGAACTATCAAGAAATTGATAATAGTTAATTACTTTCTGAAATTTAGATGTGTTTCAAATCTCTTTCATAAAGTAAGATTGAAGAAAAACTCGGACGGAAATTCAACTGAAAAAGAGTTGTTGTTCCAGTTTCTAATAACAGACTAACCATTTTCTTGGAAGATGCAATAAAGACGAGGAAACGACATCTTCTTGTATGTACTATTTAAACAACCCGATAAGGGAGTGCTAAAGATTACCGAGACTAAACAATGTTCTTCAAAAGTAGCAGTTGGGCATTTATCATTCGACCGATTTCTTATTTCAAACCCAAAAGAAACAAACTTTATCTCACTTTTCTGTCCTTATTCGCTATTTAAAGAGATGCATTCAACTCTAAAGCTCCAAAGTATATGCATTTCATAAGATACTCTAGACGATCATAAACTACCCACAAATTCTACAGCAAAGAAATAAAATGTCATTTAACAAAATCATCACAACTAAAATACTAAAAAAGCTATACCTAGCGAGCCGAGTGTAAAACAACTGCTTGGACAACTCCTGGCACTTCTCGACGGTCGCCGGCTGCACAATGTGCTGCTTATTGTTCTCCAACGTCTGCTTATAGTAAGCAGATCCGTGCCTGGCCACGAACTCGGAGGCTTGACACGCCTTTGATTTCAAAGACTGCAGCTTTGACGCCATCTGATCTGGATCATTATCAAAAACCAAAAAAATCGAACAAAAATTGACAAGTTACTAGCGCAGATCTCGCAACTAAAAACCCTAATTTGCAGAGGGTTCGAAACAAATTAACACGAAATTATTGGAGAGGAGGGAGAAAAGTGCATTTAGATTCTAAAATGCTACCTCCTTCGAAATCGAACGAACTGGGGAATCGGACCTTTTGGATTGAAGAGATTTGGGGAGAAAATTCTCGAGGAGTCGGAGATCGAGGGTTTTTTCTCTAAAATGCTACCTCATTCGACCGATTTTTAAATCACCGCAGCTCGGGGGCAATTTTGTAATTTTCTCTGAAAAAAGTGGATTCCAAATTTCTTAACGGGTTCGGAGAACCTGAACCCGAATCCAATCACAACCCTCCATCTAGTGGCCTGAGGCTGGAGGCAACAGCACTCTCTGTAACTCCCGCTGATTTCTCCAAAATGCCCTCCGATCCCAACTACGGCCTCGCTTTCTCGGGTATCGCGCTCAGCATCCTCAAAGCCCTAACTCCGAAACCCCCGCCGCAATTTCAACCTCAATCTCTTCACAAACCCTCCTCATCGGCTCCTTCACCTCCTCCGCCACCCAAGGTATCACAAAACCCTAAACCCTCATTTTTTTCCCTTAAAGATCGGATTTTTATTTGATTTTACTCCATTTTTTGTATCAGAAACCAGTAGAAGGAGATCAATTGGAACGTCGTGGGTTGTCTTCGATTTCAGCTCGGACTGTGGAGATCGTGAAGGGAGATACGCTTTGGGGGCTTTCGAGGAAATACGGGGTAATTTCTGCGTCTACTGCCGCCTCATTGTATTCGTTGAGGGGTTTGTAATTTGTATCTTCTTATGTTGCATTTGGAAATGTAGGTCACAATCGAGGCGATTAAGGGAGCAAATGGGATCACCGGGGACAAAATCTACGCGGGGAAGAAGCTCGTTATCCCTTGAACTTTCGGGCTTAATCGGTTTGAATTTTAACCCGAAAAGTTTTATCTGATTAAGTGTAGGAGTTAGTGTGGTGAGAAATTTTAAACCCCTGCAGTTTGTATGACTGTAGGATTGGATCTATTTTCATGTGCAGTTGATGTATATGCTAATCATGGTGTTAATGGGAATTTGGAAGGCTTATCACAATGCTACTGGTAACCTTTGGCCTTTGTTTCGGATCTGCGTCTTTATTTCTCCTTTCTAAATGATGGCTAATGTAGGCACTAAGATCTGAAGTATCTTGACAAGTGATGTAATCATGTAATCAATGTGCAGATGCGAGTATGAACAACAAATAGAGCAGTGTAATCTGCTGATTATAGATTAGCTGAAATAGTTAATTACTATTTAAGTGGAAGAATTAGCCAACTTATGCAATAGACAATACATCATACAGATGTTGCTTAATTTAGGAGTGTTTTGGATTCTTTTATTGTCATGCACTCGTATAGATGCGGTGCACGAAAGCCTTCCTGGTTGATGTAGTAGGAAGTAAGTAGAAGAGTTTGATAATGAGAGTGTATTTTCATCTCCTGATGAAGGTAGAGATTTAGGAGGCTGTTTGATTGCAAAAGTAAAACTTCATCTGATTATGGTCGGAATATATGGCTATATGAATATGTGATTTTTTTTTCCTTGGCAAATTACTCCAGACTGTGTTGTGCATCAGGGTTTTGTTTAATCTGTCAGTAAATGAAGTAATGAAGCACTGCTAGGGTTGTAAACTGCTCGCCATAACTTGCAAGTGAATTATATTTCCACGACTATCAAAATGGTCTAACTATGCCAGCTCCCAATGACTCCCTTTGTTCTCGTGGCATTTTAGAGTTTCTTTTGTGAAATAATTTTTTTTATCACCAATGATCAGCTACATATCCATGAGCATCAATACCCTCAGTGCCACTGTTTTTATCAAGAGATGTGTTCTTTTCATTGTGAGGTAGAGTTCTTCCTTGTGTTCTCATTTCATTTAGCACATTATGCTTGTCAACAGGAACAACTGGTAGCAGACATGCACTTCTGTTCTATTGTATCCATCCTATGTACATTTGTCTGATCCTACAATTTATCTCCGCTAATTATATTATGATGTGCCGCATATTTTATGTTCTCAAATATCGAATCAAAATAGAAAAATTTACAGAATGTTTGCTATCTGATATGTTGAAAATGTTATGACCAATTACTACTATATTTAGGATACAGTCTTTGCTCTCTGCGTTCAATTTTGCTGTCTACCGTGGAGAGATAATATTAGAATATAGATATACCTGCTTGTATGGATATAGGGATGAGAGACTCTGTTGTGTGTTATCATGCATCCGGCTCTTCTCAGGGTTTCAGTGATGTGTTACTTGTTCTGTGCAGTTAGCAAAGTGGATCTCTGTGGTACAAGTGTTGCGGTTTTCTGTATTTCTATCGAATTTTACTGTTTTTGAAGTTAGCTACGGACAGCGTTGCGGTTTTCTGTATTTCCATCGAATATTACTGTATTTCTATCAAATTTCACTGTATAGTTAAATGTGCTCATGTAAATGGGAATTCCACCTTCAGATGACATTTCTCAACTTCCTCAGCTTCCAAAAAAATCATCATCAACATTGAGTAAATAAAAAGTTAGAAATCAGTTATCATCGACGAAAGTTCATCCCGATCAAGAAAACAATACCTACGCTAAACTAAAGCAAACCCACAATCATCACAAATAAAACAGTTAAATGAATTAGACCTAAACCAAGCCCTCTGCAAACAGTCAGAACACAGGACCCAATTGAAACCAAATCTATTCGACGGTGCAAGCAACAACAGCACGAGCCCATGACCTCAGTTGCTCCTTCATGGCCAGATCATCACCCGCTGCATTAGCCCCACATCTGTAGTTACAACAGTAATTTTGATGCTTGGTAAGAGTAGAGGCCATAGAAATCATCTCCTCCTTGTGAAACTCGTTTGGTTTCCTCCTCCTGGTCCCGTCGCCATCATCGTCGCTCCTCTTCTTTTTCACTGGGGATATTTCTGGTTCTTTCATGGCTTCAGAGGGATCAGCCGAAATCTCCGGAGGAGATTCTGTAGGATTCGGGTCGACGGGTTGGGCGACGGGCTGAAGCTGTGGGGCTGCTTCGGTGGGCTTTGGAGATGGTGAGAGGAGCACATTGGAGGAGAACCAGAGTGAGTCTAGGCTGTCAATGATCTTGGCATCATCCATGGGAGAATTTTAGAGGAAGCTCATAAACTAGAGGAAATAATGGAAGCTGAAAGCAGGAGAAGGGATGGAATTAGAAGGAGAAGGGAGTTGCATTGGGAAGCAGAGAACAGGTTGGAGAGCACCATACATTTTTTTGAATTTTGAATTTTTTTTTAATGACTTGGCAAGCACTTTATTTGGGGACCTCAACGGCTCTTTTCGCATGCATGTGACACGGTGAAAGCCTAGCGAAAAGAACGCCAGGACTGACTTGATGGGCCTTCTGTTGGGCTGAGTGTGGTCGAACATCCATTCTTTTTTTTTTCCCCTCAAGCGATAGGAGAGCAATGCATGTAGGATGAGTCGATGATGCAGGAGCTAACATGCTGGGATTTCGGCTTCTCGTCGCCGCTGAGCATGCTCCGATGATTCGCAAGTCTGCGGTCATGATCGCAGGGTAACTTCGGTCTCTCGGGATAAAGCTCGAAGCCATAAGAGTCGTAGCTGAGAACTCCCACCATGTCTAGCTACATATTCTTTATATAATTTTTGAAAATAAATTTTGATTGTGCTGTGATGACCAAGAGTAGTAATAGGCTCGCCCGCATCATTCACACCTATTACCATGTTGCCATATAAAGAATTCAATAAATTTTGGTGCCCAACATAGATCAATAAGAATGCCCAAACCAAAAATAATAGGAATGATTCTAAAATATTTATTAAATTCTATTTACATTTGTGGAATCATATTTGAAAAAAAAATGATATGATTGCGATAAGTATTAAAAAAAGATTTGGATTCTGAAAACTTGTAAAGTAGCTTGAGTTATAGTTGGGTGATAACAACCAGATAAAAGGAGAGAGTTTCTTGAAAAAACTTATAGCATATTATTTACATAAGATATAGTGTTCTATTCTTCTTCAGTCATTCCTGTTGGACAACGGAGAAGAGTGGGGCCACCCACGTGCGAAAGCCAGCAAGGCCAACGCGGTTTGTTTCCGCGTGCTTGAAGGCCCACCCAAAACCCAAACATTGCTTATATATGACCTAGGGTTTCGTGTAGCAAAAATTGGGCAATTGAGAAAGGCAGGAGTTGTCTTCGTAGCCGCCAACGAAGAAAAAAAAAAGCAAAGGCTTAGGCGTGCAGGTAGGGAGAGACGCCGTCGAAAGAAAAGAAAAGAAAAAGTACGGCTGCTGATGAGAAATTAAAGCGGCGGCTTTGGAGCAGTGCCAAGGCGTATTTGGAGCAGTGCAAGGAACAGATAGTCTTTTCTTTGTTTTTGGCGACCGTCTTTTGTTTTGAGAGAGATAATTGTTGTGAGGGGTTTAAGAGATTTTGTGAGGGTTTAGATTGAGTGATTGTAAACCCTAGTTGTGTTCTCCCCCTCTAATAGTAGATCTCCCCCCTCCTTGCCCCGTGGACGTAGGCAGTTTGCCGAACCACGTAAAATTTTGTGTTCTTGCCGTGATTTGTAATAGCTTGTAGGATCCCTCGACATGTCAGTCCTAGAACTGATGAGAGGAAGAGCCGATATCTCACTTTGTTGAGATATCCGCTTCAGATTCTTGTCTCCTTGGTGAGACGGGAATTCTTATTATCGATCTTTCTTTCTTATTGTGCACCAGAAACTCTGCCGAAATTTCCGCTGCGCACAACAAGTGGTATCAGAGCCCAGATTCCAGATCTAGGGTTTGGTTGGAGGAGTAGATCAATTTGGAGGCCCGTTTAGGACTTCGTTGGTGATAAAGGTGGGATCTTTTGGTAAAGACTCTATCTTTCAGTTTTGGATCTATTCTTTGTTCGTTGGTGCGTAAGATGTCGGGGAAAGAAGGTGCTTCGGGAGTCGAGGGTGGTTCTTCTGGCGTGAAGACTATTCAGAGTTTGAATATCCACTCTATGAAGATAGATGTGGAGAAATTTAATGGCACAAACAACTTTGGATTATGGAGATGCGAGGTTTTGGATGCGCTGAACGCGCAGAATTTGGAGGATACATTGGAGTTAGATGGCAAGCCAGATGAGATTGAAGAGAAGGTTTGGAAGAAGATGAATCGAACGGCGTGTGGTGTGATTAGGTCTTGTTTGACTCAAGATCTAAAATATGATGTGATGAATGAGACTTCTGCGAAGAAGATTTGGGAGATTCTCGAAAGCAAGTATTTGACCAAGAGTGTGGAAAATCGCTTGCATTTGAAGAGGAGACTTTATCGTTTCCAGTTGAAGAAGGGAACCTCCATTAGAGATCACATGAACCACTACACAAAGCTTCTTGCGGATTTGGCGAATGTGGATGTCAAGATTGAAGATGAGGACAAGGCGTTGCTGTTGTTGAGTTCCTTGCCCGACGAGGAATATGAGACCTTCGTTCTTACTCTGATTAATGGGAAGGCATCACTTTCGTATAGTGAGGTCACCGCTGCACTTGTGAATTATCAGCTTCGAAAGAAGGATAAGGAGGCTTCGGTTGAGTTTGGATTAGTTGATGGGGGTGAGATCGATTTGGTGAGCGACATCGACGTTTGGGGTGTGTGTTTGCACTCCCATTTGGGTCTCAGCAAGTGAGGCATTTGGTGTTGTCGGTGTAGGCTCAGTTTGATTTGGTGTGTAGACACTGTTGTTTTGGGTGAGTGTTCGCACTCCCGTTTGGGTCTCGACTTGTGTTGATGGAGTCCGTTGTCATGAGTCCGTTGTCGTGGCATACTGGATGCAACAAGTGAGACATTTGGTTTGGTTGGTGTCGGCTCAGTTTTAGAAAAACTTCACCGAGGTGGAGAATTGTTGGACAACGGAGAAGAGTGGGGCCACCCACGTGCGAAAGCCAGCAAGGCCAACGCGGTTTGTTTCCGCGTGCTTGAAGGCCCACCCAAAACCCAAACATTGCTTATATATGACCTAGGGTTTCGTGTAGCAAAAATTGGGCAATTGAGAAAGGCAGGAGTTGTCTTCGTAGCCGCCAACGAAGAAAAAAAAAAGCAAAGGCTTAGGCGTGCAGGTAGGGAGAGACGCCGTCGAAAGAAAAGAAAAGAAAAAGTACGGCTGCTGATGAGAAATTAAAGCGGCGGCTTTGGAGCAGTGCCAAGGCGTATTTGGAGCAGTGCAAGGAACAGATAGTCTTTTCTTTGTTTTTGGCGACCGTCTTTTGTTTTGAGAGAGATAATTGTTGTGAGGGGTTTAAGAGATTTTGTGAGGGTTTAGATTGAGTGATTGTAAACCCTAGTTGTGTTCTTAAACCCTATTTGTATCTCTCCCTCTAATAGTAGATCTCCCCCTCCTTGCCCTGTGGACGTAGGCAATTTGTCGAACCGTGTAAAATTTGTGTTCTTGCCGTGATTTGTAATAGCTTGTAAGTTCCCTCGACGCACAGTCCTAGAGCTGACGAGAGGAAGAGCTGATATCTCACTTTGATGAGATATCTGGCTTTTGGTTCTTGTTTCCTTTGAGAAACAAGAATTCTTATCGATCTTTCTCTCTTGTTGTGCACCTTGCGCACCGGAGGTGCTGCCGAAATTTTCCGCTGCGCACAACAAATGGTATCAGAGCTCCGGGTTGGACTTGGAAGCTTGTTTGAAGGATTCGCTGAAGGATTCTTATTTGAAGGGTTAGATCGACAATATGGGTGAAACAAGCACATCGGGATCGTCTCTTACGAAGACGATACATAGTTTGAGCATCAATAACATGAAGATTGATGTTCCGAAGTTCGACGGCAAGATCAATTTCGGATTGTGGAGATGTCAGGTGATGGACGCCTTGGACGCTCAGAATTTGGAGGAGACTCTTGAGTTACAAGAGAAACCTTCCGATATGGAAGCTAAGGTTTGGAAGAAGATGAATAGTAGGGCGTGTGGAGTTATTCGGTCATGCTTGACGCCGGATCTTATTTATGACGTGATGAACGAGACGTCGGCGAAGAAGATGTGGGAAACACTCAATGAAAAGTATCTTACTAAGAGCATTAAGAATCGGCTTCACTTGAAGAAGAGGTTTTACCAATTCAAGATGAAGAGGGGAGTTTCCATTCGGGAGCATGTTAACAACTTCACAAAGCTACTTTCAGACATGGCTAATGTGGATATCATGGTTGAGGATAAAGACAAGGCGATGCTACTTTTGTGTTCGTTGCCCGATGATGATTTTGGTACGTTTGTTCTAACTATGATTAATGGAAGAACTACTGTTAATTACAAGGAGGTGACCTCAGCGTTGGTGAATTATGAGTTGAGGAAGAGTGTGGATGAGTCCTCCGAGAAGGCATCGGGAGATGCATTAGTAGTTCAT